CCAAGACCTGGACATATTCTTAAAAACTGGACGCATCTGTGCAGCAATCTGAAGCTGGAAAATAAAAAGTTAGTATGTTAGAGGCAAATTATGGCATTTTGAGAATATGTGTATTTAAATTTGATGTCAACAAAAATACATAAACCGATGATGAAGTGAAGTTTAGTGTGGTTCTTATATTTTACTGATCTTAAGTACTTGGCCTGTTGTTTTTCTTCCAAGGAGGGTCTGAGTAAACTTTCAATGTGTTTTCTCGAACTTAGCTTTAAAAGTTGTTTTTTTTTTTTCAATAGCAAGACGACGATAAAACTATGAACAATTCTATTTTTCCTCTTTTTAAATGTTTTGAAATATCAGCGGTGGTTGATAACGAAAGAAATGAGGCAGCCTGTTCAGACAGCAGCAGAGGCTGATGCAGAGAGTCAGACAGAGCAGCGAGGCTCCCTCAGCACCAATAGGTCTGCTTTTGGAAGAGAACGGGAAGGGAAGGGGAGGAGGGGGCCCTCGGATTAAGAGGCTGAAAAATGGTTAAAACGTGTCAACGTGTAATTGCACGATAAGGCCCCCTCGCGAGGAATCCGTTGGCCCCGTTGCTATTTTCTATGGCGTCCCTGCTAATCTCCTCGCGCCACATTCAGTCTTGTGCAATCGGTCCCCCGTAATCTCCCATGACAGAACCGGGTCCAACGACAGAGGTGAGGGTTTTTATAGGAGGAGAGGGAGGGAAATATGCGGAGGCGTGATAAACTGACGCCGATTATCCACGTTCAGGACACCAGGAGCACACGGGATGGGGGGCGAGGGGGTGCACCGGGTTATGGAGCACGAAGTGCCAGAGCAACGGTGTCCAAACATGTGCCAAGCAGAACATGAGGAGAGGGTGAAAACCTGCAAACACATGGCTGTGCGTGGTCCAGCCCTGAGCCTGTCTGATGATGGGAGCATCTGGGGCCACAGAGTGTCAGACTGTGGACCAGACTGAGCTGTATTTTTGACTGCTCACTCCCAAATATTCCTGACAGACACTGATTAGCGTCTTTAAGTGGTGAGGATACTTGTCATTTGTGTTCACGTCATCTTACCTGAGCTTCAGCGAGGCCAGATGTGATCATGTAATCATCACATCAGCACCTGATAATAAACCTGATTCACACTTTACTGATAATAATCTTGTAAATTACTTGCTCCCTTTCTTTACAGACACTTTGGAGGAAAATCTCTTGACATACCTTGAGGTTTAGTGAATCAGTTCTCAGGATAGTTGTGGCAGAATAATCCGTTTCCCTCTTTCATTTTTGTATCATCATATTGGGATTTTTTTTTTTTTGCTATCAAAAGGTCCAATCAGAGCAGTATTCAGAGGCAATCATCCCAGCTTTGATCACAATGAACAAATAATAATATCCTCCAGAAACAAGTTTCTGAAGAGCGATAATTAAATGGTCAAATACCTTTACTGTATTTTTTTCTTCTTTTTTGCACATTCCCTCTAAAATATCTTCTTTTTTTTGTACCCTCCCTCAAGGAACTACAGTCTGTAAATACTCCCAAACCTTAAAAAGTAATAAGAGATCATCTGTTAACCTCTCTGCCTCGTTCTCTTTGAAAAACACACACTTAACTTCTGGAGCAAGCATTTTACAGATATTACCTGATGCTCTTTTTAATGTCAGTTTTAGTACGATGAAGTCTGAACAAAAAAAACCTTTCATAGGCTCTCAATGTGGCTGTTAATGTCCACAACCAATTAATCAGTTATTGGTTCGTGTAATCGTGAATCGCCGTTTGGCTGCCGCTTAAACGCTCTTTAAAATGACAGTCGGCTTGGATGTGTGATCGAACATCAGCGAAAATAATCAGAAAACAACACTTTTATTAGCTGTTGTCAGTAAAGGAGAAGTGGTTAAATTTTAAATTTTAAAATTAAAAAAAAAAATTCTTTTAAGATGATTTTTATTTCAAAGTGTATGCCTCTTACACATCCATTCCTCCTCTTCTAGTCGCCGCAGTATTTTCAGAAATAACATGCCTTAGCTTTAACTCTTAACGAGAAAAATGTGCAGGAGAAATATTCAGGAGAGCAGATATTAAGCTGTGTGATAAGCGAACTATTAAGCCCACTTACAGAGCAATGAATCACCCTTCACCTGAGGTCTGTCTGAGCTCAGATCAGATCTGGCGTTGTGCCTTTAAGCTCTGGAAACTGGACGCTTGCATTGAGTCCCAGAGGACAGAAAGTGTCATTTGGACGAGGGTGGGAATGAAAATGGATTTTATATTGTTCTGATCTTCTAGTTGAAGTTTTGCCCAGCTGCTCGATACAACAACAGGATGTAAATTCTGTTTATATGAGTTTATGTAGCTCAGTTTTTTGAAGGCCAACTGTTCAGCATATATCTTACATTATTTGCTTCCATTGTTATTTTTTCCTCCTTGTGGAAGTAAGTAGTGTGTTGTGAGCCCATTCAAGCTGAGTACTTCAAATATTGTATTTGATCCGTATATTTTTCTGTATTAAAAAAATTATTTACGATGATTAGTCATGAGCAATCCAGAAGTTAGTAGTTATTTTTTGTTTTTTTTTTAAATCAAAGAACAAAAACAAACCCAAAAGCAACCTGACTTGAATTTGAGCTATAAAGAGACTTATATTAGACTGTGAACCTATTAAATACCTTCACTTTAAACACCTGACGTCCCTGGAAACCGCTTTACCAGATGTGATTTGCATCCACGCTGCTCTCTTGTGTTTTTTCGAGTTCAGACCCGAGTGGGAATTAGTCTGATAAAACCAGGGGTGTTGTTTGCCGGGCTTTTTTGTTGGGGTTGACCCCCGGGTTGCCACAGCTTACACCAGGACTAATCCCCATTCTCCTCCAACACAAAAAAAAAAAAACCTCCTCTCCTCGCCCTCTTTCCTCCTCCTCCTCCTCCTCCTCCTCTCTGCTCTGCGCTCATTCATTCCTCCCTCCCTGCCCCGGGGCCTCGGCTGATTCAGCCATCAAATTTAAAGAAGGAAATAATTTAACAGCCGTGACAATTACACACACAGATGACGGCGTTGGATGCTGGAGGTCAGGAATGGGCGAAGATTTGAGGGCCAGTGTTGAGGCAGGAGTACCCAGGTGGAGGCGGGGTTGAAGTGGGCCCAATTGAGGCCAGTTGAAGAATTAGTAGTTCACTGAACACTGGATTGTTGTCGGATTTACTTTTGCTCGAGATTTAGATTGCTGAGGTCATGACCCTGCAGGCAGGTACAAATAGAGAGAGAGCTTGGCATTTAAGTACAATATTATACATTTAAATATGATGCATATGCATGAAAGTAGGTTTGACTGTCACTGTTGTAAAGTAAGGTTTGTATGCGTTATCAGATTGGCCAAAAAAATAAGAAGATGACAAGTAATTTTATCAAAGTTTGAGAAAAAATAAATATTAATTTAGACAACAGAAAGATCCTCTCATCCAGAATAGCACATATTTTAGGTGATTCCATAAAAGACACATGAATGAAGGCTACGTCACGTTTAAAGGGAATCAGCTTTTGAAAAATCATTTTCACAACTTGGATGAAGAAGAGAGAAAATAAGATATCAACACAAATAAAAATCGACTCTATCCCTGGTAAGGTTGGTGTTGTTTTGCATTTTGAGGGTATAAATTAAAATAAATACTAAAAAAAAAAAGCTATATTTTTAAACACTGGCACTAAAGTGGGAGATTTATTAAGAATAAGGCCCTATTTTAAATTAGAAAAATATAAACAACATTTCAGGCTATTTTAAAAAATTTTAACATCCTTAAATAAATAAATCCTGAAGCAGCAGCTGTTTTCTATGTCAAAATATCATCTATATTATTAGCTCCAGGGGTGTTGAGGGCTTACATTATATTAAATAATACTTTGCAGGTACAGAAAACCAAAAAAAGCCATTTCAAAAGAGCACATTAATTCCTACTGATGCATATGATCAGGATTTAAAGGCTGATTAATTAGACAGTTCAACACATGTTTGTATTGAATAAGTATCGATCAGAATGAAAAGAAAAATATGAGTGATTCTAACAGAAAGCCCACCATCCTCTCTCCAACGTGTCTGCCTGTAATATTGTAATTATTCCTATTTTGTTGTCATTTGCGTTTTTTTGGCCAAATTTGCCGACATGAATCCCGCATTCACTGCAACCATATCAAGCAGCAGGCAATTAAAAAAAATGTATTTCAGCAGTCGATGCAAATAAAGTGCAATTATTCGAGGTACAGCTGACATGGGCCTGCGGAAATATGCAAGTAAATAATACCCCACGAACAAATCTAACACTTTCTCCGAGACACAATAAATTCTTGGAAAATTTATTTAACTCAGCGCAAGAATCGTTTCGTCTTAAACCCCGAAAATGTGGCTTGGCAATTTGTAAATTATGTACAATTGCATAAAAACGTTTTCAGTAGGCCTATTTATTCACAATTTACAAGATCTTACAACAACAAAAACAAATTCAAATTACACCGACTGACTCACATGTTTACAAGCATTAAAACTGGAAATCAATTTAAACTGCAGCCTAGAAACTTTTTTAAAACACATCTTCCACACCGCCCTCCATTTATTATACGGTTCCCTCTTTAAACAGCTTTTTTTTTCGGATCCCTCAAACACACAGCTGGTGCCTTTAATTCCACAGAAAAGTCGGGGAAAAAAATAACCTTCAAAACGCACCAGCCTTCACGGATTATAATTTAAATCGTGTCAAAACTTGGCATGCTCTGTTCCAGAGAGCAAAAGTAAATCGGATGCGCTTTCCTTTAGCTCGGACAGACAAAAAAAATCCATCACTGAAAGAAAATAAAAATAATAACAATAAAAAAGTTTGTTCAAAGTGATTGCATTTTTATGGCTATAACCGCCTATAATTTACAATTCATCAGCAGCTTGCGCCCACATCTAGAGTTTAAATATTTGGTTGTGGTTTGTAGTGCTTATCGTACATTTAGAGATTTAAATATGGGTCAGGGGAACCGTCCCGTTTACCGGAGTGGAGCCGCTGCTCTGGTAGTGCTGCGGGTGGAGCACATGCAGTCTGCTCTGAACGGAGGAGTCCCCCGCCGCCTCTCCGGTCGGCAGGTACATGCTGATCATGTCCCGCAGGTCTCCCGCAGGGCACGGCGGCGGCGCGCGGGCGGTGGAGACCGGGGGGCTCACGCTAGGCTCAGATTTCACAAGGGACCCCAAAGTCCCTCCGATCGCTCCGGACACCGGGGACACACCGGAGCTTTGGTGTTGGTGAGTGTAGCCGGTGATCCCGCCGTAGCCCGGCGGAGAGGCGCTCATGTAGCTCTGAGAGTTTGAGATGGGGCTGTAAGATAAGGCGCTCATGTCGTACCTGTGCACGGGCTGCGGGTTGTGCGGGTGGTGGTGCGGGTGATGGTGCGGATGCGGGTGGTGCGGGTGAGCCCCGGTGCCCGGGTGTTGCGTGTAAGCCAGCTGTGCCTCCTGCATCATGGCGTGAGCCGCCGCCGCCGCCGCCGCCACCTGCCCCGAGTACGTGCCGTTCGCCCAGCCGTTCACGTGCGTGGCGTAGCCCGCGTTGGCCCCTGCGTGGCCCCCTCCGGGGCTCTCCAGCCGCTGCCCGCCGCCCATCCCGACGCCCGCCGAGGAGCCGAGCAGCCCGCCAGCCAGAGAGTACTTGTCCTTCTTCAGCAGCGTCTTGGTCTTCCTCCGCGGCCGGTACTTGTAGTCCGGGTGTTCCTTCATGTGCATGGCCCGGAGCCGCTTCGCCTCGTCGATGAACGGCCTCTTCTCCGCCTCGGTCATCACCTTCCACTCTGCGCCGAGCCGCTTGCTGATCTCGGAGTTGTGCATCTTGGGGTTCTCCTGTGCCATTTTCCTGCGCTGGCCCCGGGACCACACCATGAAGGCGTTCATGGGTCTCTTGATTCTCTCCTGGGGGACTTTGCCTCCGGCCCCCCCGCCTCCTCCTCCCGCGTGTGCCCCCGGGTTGGATGGGTTGGTCTGGGGCACCACGGGGGAATGTAAGTCCGTCTCCATCATGATGCTGTACATTCACCTCGTCTTAGTAGGACACCAGTCAGACACACAGAAACATTCAGGCTGGCCCGCGCACAGCTAAACCTCCGAGGAAGAGGAGATGAAGAGTGAAGAACCAGATGAAAAGGAGCTCTGCTCTCAGGGTGAAATCCACTCAGAGGTAAACCTGCGCCGCACTTCCCCCTTTTCGCTTTTTTCCTGTCATCCAGGAGCGCACAGAAGAATGGATGTTTGACTTTGGTTGAAGCTGTGCTGGGAAAAGTTACCGGAGCGTGCCCGGGCCGCGCGCTTTGACAGCAGCTAAATGAGCGAGGAGCGGCCAATGGAGAGGCTCGAGCCGAGACGTGATTTGCATGCAGGGGCTCGAGGTTCTGGTGACGTCGGAGCGCGAGACCTAAAAATGACTCCCTCTGTCATCTGTTTTGTGTGTGTAGCTGGAAAACACACACAAACGGTTTCATACCCATGATTTTTGCGCATGTCCGCTGCATCAGACAGCGCAGCGGAGCCTGTGAGCGCCCAAATTGTCACATTTCATAGTAACGTTTAAGAATCAAACGAAAATCCCGCTGCAGCAAATCAAACTTTACAAGTGAGCTGCGTGCACTGGAAGAAAACGGGTTGATTAGAAGCAAATAAAGTCTTTTATAATAGCTGAATGAGTCGTTAGGGCTTTAATTATAGTCACAATAAATACAAAAAAAGTTCCCAGCTGTTGGAATTAAGAGGCTGCTCCTGTGCATGACTTACTTTATTAGGTGCAATCTGTAGAATATATGAAATTGTACATATGAAATAATCAGAACAAAATAACAGTATGTACATTTCTTCTTTGTCATTTTGTCTCCAGATTTTTCCACCATCTTCCTCCATGCTGCTGCTGGAGCGCTGCAAACCTCCTGCTGTGTGGGATTAATAACAGCCTGTCTTTTCTTATAGTCAACTTAAAATACTGAGAGTTTCTCAAGCACATTACCATGCATTATAAAGTATATTATAATACCAATATGTCACAAATTAGGTGTCACATGTAGCCCTTTGTTTTTGAGATCTAATTATTTACATGTATTCCAATAACCAAAATGTATTTTTTAAAGCAAATTTGCCCCCCTTTTTCTCCGTTTTTCAAACTAAGGCTTACACAGCCTCCTATTCAGAGCCACAGGTGCTTCTCTGTTGTGCCCGTTGCTAGGAAACAGGTGACTGACGCCCGGAGCACGTGCCATTCAAAGCGCCCCTTTTGTTTGTTTCGCCGGCGCTCTGTGGCAGCACGAGAGAAAGAGGGACAAGCAAACAAAACCTACAGTAATCCTGTAATAAACGTTAGAGATGTTACAGGCTTCTAATGATCGCAATTTATTAAAGTAATGAGGTGTAATGCTGCGGGCCTCCTGCAAAGAGGCCTGGGACGGCTCGCCGGCTCTTTCTTGTAGGGATCAAGGGCAATTCTCAGAGATGTCGTTGTTATTGAGGCTGTCATGATCTGTTTTCAAAGAGACGATACAAATTTAATGTATAGTTTACTGTTTCTGAGTGTGTGTTAGTAATACACAATGAATCTGTCAATTAATTGTTTGGTCATAAAAGTGCATCCTGAGCTGAAGGCAAAACATCAAAATCAAAATGTGAAGCTGTTTCATTTACTATCACACAAGACAAAGAAACAGTAAATCTAAACATGCTGCCATTGAAACAAATCATTTCTTAACAAAATCTGTGTTTATTTTCCTCCAGTGTTTCCGTCTTTGCATTCTGTTCCCTCTGTGGCCACTGTGCAGCTCCTAAACACAGTACAACAGGAAGGAATACATGCACAGACAACATTAACACTGCGTTTGGTTGTTGGGTATTCCGGTCTCCTCCTGCTTCTCTGGCTTCCCGTCATGTAGAGGATCTTTTCAGCCCACTGGAATTATGCGCCCAAGTGGCATCTGTCAGGTGCTGCCCGCCTCTCAGCGAGCTAGTAAACTATATTGGCACGCTGGCATGGCTGGATTCTCCTCTCGCTGCCTTGTACCAGTTGGGTATAGTGCTGTTAAGTGGCTTGTCTGGTCTGGTTTTTTGCGCTCACTGTGACAATCTCCTCTCGGCACCTCTTTTTTTTTTTTTTTTTGCTTCCAGCACAGAAACACATGGACAAACAGCAGCAGAGGAATTCTTTGAGGCTGTAATCAGATCAGAGAAGTGATGGAAGTATTTCACATTGACCAAATGATATCTTGTCAGTGACGACATTTGGCTCCATTTTTCTAATGTAGTATCTATTCATCTATTGATTTCATGGCAAGCAGGGGAGAGAGACTTTGTCGTGCTGAGGCTCAGTGAATTAACTCTGTTGTTCGGTGTTGAGGTGTCTGCTAGAGGACTCAATTGACAGCTGATAAAGAGAAGCAACTAGTTCAGAGCGATGCCTTCTCAGGGACGTTTGGATGCTTTTATTTACAATACTGTCTAGAATGGGTTGAGAGTCACTGCCTTTGTGTTGACTCTGTGTGATAACAGAAAGAGTCAACACATCATTTGCTCTCTCGCATTATTCGTTGTTGATTCCTGTGTGATGGTTTTTGCCATGCTGAGTTACTGCCCTTCAAATGGCTCTAAATGGGCAAAATCGAGTGAAGCAATTTCAGAAATTTGACCATAATCATGTTAGCATGGACGATGCAGTTCTGTGGGGCAGTCTCAACAAGCCACGCCGTGTTTGAAGCTGGTGACGGCGTAATTGAAGCTTGTTTACATGCTTTTTAAGAGCGTGGCTGCAAAATGATTAAGGCTTTAACACATGATTTTTAACAAGTCACACATGTGCTCAGTTTTAGTTCATCTCGTCAGAAACTACCATTCAACCTGTGTTTGCATGTTGGTGTAGCAATCCAAGCCAGATCCCTTCTTCTCTGTATAGAAAAATTAAATTCTGTAGAGTTAATTCTGTGGTTATGATGATCGTTAATGATTCATAGTTATATAGAAGTATGGATTAGTGACAGTTTATGTTGAGTAAAACGTGAAAAAGTTTTAGAGTAAATCTCTGTTGCTGCACTTCATTAACTGTCTGTTGTACTGATGAGTTAAGACTGCAGCTGAAATTGTACATGTGCATTTATATATAATCTATTGTAACTGTTAGCCACAGCTAAGTACTTCAGATAAATCATACAATATATGTGACAGACTGAAATCCAACATGTCCTCTAACCTTTCCTCTCTGTTTTAATCCATCTTTGTAGAAATGATTATATTGTTCTTCTTTCTTTCCTTCCTAGTGTCTTTCTTTCTTTCATTCTTTCCAAGTTAGTTTCTTAGTTATTGGCGGCGGCGACCTTTCTTTCCTTCCTAGTGTCTGTCTTTCTTTCCTTCCTTCCTTCCTTCCTTCCAAGTTTCTTAGTTAGTTTGTTTATTTCCTAGTTATTATTGGCGGCGGCGATCTTCTTTCTTTCCTTCCTTCCTTCCTAGTGTCTTTCTTTCTTTCTTTCCAAGTTAGTTTCTTAGTTATTGGCGGCGAC